GCAAGAAATCTTAGCTTACTGCTTTTGGTACCTGCCCAGATGGCAGCATGTACTGCATTATTTAGTATATACACCTCAAATATGCAGGCTTCAGGTGTGTAAAAAAGAAAAACCTGGACACATGGTTAGCATTTCTTGCTGTATTAATACTTGCTCATCATGGGGCACCTGTGTGACTCGGTTGAGTATCTGACTTTAGATTTTGGCTCGGGTCATTATCTCCTGGCTCATGAGGTCAAGCCGCACATCCAGCTCTGCGCTGATGCAGGATACTCTGTACCTCTCAAAATAAGTACTTGGTTCATCACATGTATCTAAATTTCTAGGTTGGGGCGGGGGGGACACCTTTTACCAAGTTACTTCTAAAAAAAACACGGAGGTCACGTACAATTTACACTTTTTGCCATGAATATGTTTGCATTAAAAAGAGAGCCCCCAGGGGCGCCTGGGTGGCGCAGTCGGTTAAGCGTCCGACTTCAGCCAGGTCACGATCTCGCGGTCCATGAGTTCGAGCCCCGCGTCGGGCTCTGGGCTGATGGCTCAGAGCCTGGAGCCTGTTTCCGATTTTGTGTCTCCCTCTCTCTCTGCCCCTCCCCTGTTCATGCTCTGTCTCTCTGTCCCAAAAATAAACATTGAAAAAAAATTAAGAAAAAAAAAAAAGGCCCCCAGAGGCACCTGGGTGGCTCAGTTAAGCATCCAACTCTTGAGACTCGGGCCACGATCTCACAGTTCGCGAGTTTGAGCCCCACTTCGGGCTCCATGCTAACAGTGCAGCGCCTGCTTGGGATTCTCTGCCCCTCCCCTGTGCTCTCAAGATTAAAAAAAGCCCCAAATCCTGACAATCAACTGAATGACAAATTGCAGCTTATGAATGGGTTGAGAAAGCTAAGGTGTAGAACGGAATACAAGGGCTTTCGAGTCAAGGCTGGCCTGGGTTATAAATACACTACTTGTTTAGTAGGATGAGGAATGTGTGAGAACTTCTTTCTTCCGTTATTCACCTCTCAAGTGGTTCAACATCACGTAAGAAAAAGGCCCCGCACGATGTTCAGCAGAGTGGTACTCAAAACACTTTCTTTCCTGACCACTGCCAAGAGTCCTTACCAAAGCATCCAGCACTCTAAAGCATGGGTTCCTAGCCCCTCCAAATGATAGGTGTGTTCATCCACTCCTTACTATCCACAAAGAACGTAGCTTCTGCTCCCAACCTCACTCCTGGGGAGTCAATTGCATGTCAGGTGGACAGTTATATACATTGCCAACTGAAGTGCGACCAGGACTGCCAGTTCAATTTCTTGTCCCCATTGAATCGGACAGCTGGAATGTAGGAGCCAGCCATTAATGCAATCTGATACATCAACTTCTCAGCGTCCAGCCAGGACGATGAACAAATTATCCCACACCCATTTATTTGGTAGTACAACCGAAAGGAAGTCAAAAATCCTGACTTGGAACTACTTCCAATTCATGGTTATAGAATCCTTTACCTCCAAACCCTAGTGCAGTTTGCACACTCAATTGCTTACACCCTCAACTCCTACCTTATGATCAAGGTACTCATTTCTTCACCTGATTCCTTATGGCTTACCTATGAGCTCCACTTTTAGTCCCAACACCTTGCCATCTGATCCAATTCACTTTTCCTCTCTTTTCAAAGATCCCTCAACTAAAGATTTGCACCTCATGCCATGTCCAAAAACCTTTCTTGTAGGCCACATGAAGCCCTACAACCAATAGCTCTCAAGTCATCCTAAAATGGATGAAACACTAAGAAATTGGTGAAGCTTAGGTCTCACTCTTGAACTCAGGTCAAACAACTACTTGCTAGATACTGAGCTACTATGTGCATCCTTGAATCCCACTCCACAAAGTCCCTGGGTCTTGGACTACCATAGAAGAAAAGTAGGACACAAAAACAATTGAATGACAAATTTACATTCCAATTTATAATTATTTGTAAAGCACTCTTGTTGAATCTTTTTGTTGCTGTTGAAAGTTTTTTTTTATCTATAAAGAAATTCTGGAGGCAGAGAGCCAGCTGGAATGGGCTATTAGCATTAAGCAACCTTCCCCCTTGGCTTTAATTTGCAGTTCGGATGCTAAAAAAACAAAAACAAAAACCCACCCCTGAAAGGATAGTAAGTTGCCCCATATGAAATCTCAATGAGATACATACTGAAACAAAGGTGCCATTTACAGGTGAAGCAGAGTTAAGGGTACTTGGCTGGCTTAGTGGGTAGAGAGGGCAGGACTTGACTCTGAGCCCCTTATCAGTAGTAGAGATTAAAGAATAAAAATAAAAGCAGGAAAAATCGCCTATGTACTATTTTTCTGAAGAGCTCAACTGTGCTCTGCGAAGAATATTCTCCATAGAAGAACCTATCCAAATTACTAGGAAGCAAGTAACAATGTTTCCAGAAAGTTTCACTTTCTCAAAACCAAGTATATATCTGCACCAAAAGTTGTAGTAAAGGCACTAAATGACCCCATTCTAAGACTTTTAGAACAATCCTTAATATACAATGTTATGTATGTCACATAGAATGGAAGAAAAAGTATAGTAGTATTATACACATGTATTTCAGGTTGTTAGTTTGGGAAACTTTTTGGCTGTTACATGTTCTGAAGGATTAACAAGAACTGAGATACTGAAGGAGTCTAAAAACTGTATCATGAATTTCTGCAATCCCAATTAAAAAAAATCAAGCAGGTGATGTATTAGGTTTATCATGACAAATTTTCAATGACGTCTTCTCAGAACCTCCCAAGTGTGCTGTACAACTGAATTTTTTTGAGGTATCCAAGGAATATTTAATAGGATGAAGAAAATTTGTGAGGACACAGAAAACTGAATTCAACACTATCAGTTGTTTTGATAAAAATATACTCCAACCCAGTTTTTCTTCAGCTACTTTAATCAGAAATCTTTTGTTCTCGAAAAAAAAAAAAAAAAAAAAAGAAAAACCAGAAGTCTAGTACAAAAATATACAACTGAAAGACATTACCACCAACTAGATCTGTCAACTAAATCGTGTTGAGGATTCTGAAAATAAAAAGTACTAAACCAGTGGTCTTAATCAGGGACATTTATCACCTAACTCTTCCAAGTAACACAGTGCTTACTCTTAAAAAAGTAAATGAGCCTGGCAACAGGCTGTGTATATTTTAAAAAACTTCTATCAACACCATTCCTGATAAAGAATTGTAATAATATGAACCATATTAACTAATAAAAAAGCAGGACTTCTCATCCAGATATAGGTGAGTCCAACTAAAAGAGATGCCATCTAATGACCACACCTTTGTAAGGAAATATTAAAAGTATATAAACAGTAGGTAAGAGGTATCTACAATCTGATAAAATTCAAATTTCTCTGGCTAATTTATCTTCACCTTTCTGCTTAAGACATGAAGGCCAGAAGTAACCCACAATTAAGCGAGAACTACAGATAATTATTTTGAAAAAGCATAAAACTAACAATCCTTCTGTTTCCTTCAATTACCACCCAGGATTAACAGTGACCTCTAGGGAACACCTGCAGTCACTACACTAAGAGGTCAGTTTTTGTGACTGACCTCTTACAATATTATACTCCTCCATTAAGGACACAGTACACAGTTGGCTAATGAAAATTTTTGAAATTAGAGTAGCCAGAACTTTTTTTTTTTTTTTTAATTTTCTCTTTCAACGTTTATTTATCTTTGGGACAGAGAGAGACAGAGCATGAACGGGGGAGGGGCAGAGAGAGAGAGACACAGAATCGGAAACAGGCTCCAGGCTCTGAGCCATCAGCCCAGAGCCTGACGCGGGGCTCGAACTCACGGACCGCGAGATCGTGACCTGGCTGAAGTCGGACGCTTAACCGACTGCGCCACCCAGGCGCCCCTAGAGTAGCCAGAACTTTTAATGGCCACAGCTAAGTGTGCAATAAGGTTTTTAACAGTTTCTATCCTCCATTATTTTTTGTCACAAGCCATAAAATTGCTGGGGCTTCTGGTTAAAGTGACTGCAAATTTGGCCTAGAAGTCAGGATAACTCCCTGAGATCAACTTTATCTTAAGTTCTGTATAAGCCACATTACACCCATGACCTATCTCCTTTTTACAGAAATCCAATTTAGGACTTTGCAAGTTGTATGTTGCAAAAACATCCCTATCAATGTCCAATGTAATTAGTGATGTACCATATTACTTCCATGACCTTTAGTATCTTGCCTTGTTCTGAACAAGTTTTAAAACGCTAGGAGGAAATGCCAAAAGACAAAAGGCCCAAAGCCAGAGCTCCCAGTACATCAACAGTCTTAAGTATCTTCTATAAGAAGGCTCATCCCAAATCTGAATTCTACCTTGTGACACCAATCTTTCTTTGTTGGTATCTGCATGAAAGGTTAGTAAGGACCACTGGAAATTTATTTAGGCCCTCCCTACACCTTATAAAGTATCTTTACAGACTGAACTCAATGCAGTGACTTCTTTCAAATTAAAGAAAGTCAGTATAGCATATTCCAAAACTATCTTTAAGTAGCACATTTAAGGAAACTAAGCCACAAGGTAGTTGCATTATGATTTAATCTAATCGCACAAAAATTTGAAATTACAACTCCTCTGGGTTTCTAAGAGGAAGGTTATGCATGCCTCCATATTCAATTCTGCACCGTTACATTTGAACCATATAGTGAAATTTACATCATAATGGATCAATTTAGAATTTCCATGCAACACCTCTGATTATATAAAATGGAAGCAATTTTTAAAGCTTTGTGGAAGGTCTCATGCTAATGATAAAGCCTTTTCTATGGGCCACTTTGGGTTATAATGTACCAGGTTGCTATACTTTAAGATGTTGGTCACGGAGTATCACGGTCTTTGAACTGGCTCCTACTCCTAAAAAATGGTTAAGTACGATCACTTAGGTGACACCAAGAATTCCCTTCAGCCTCAATTGTGTTTAAGATTTGTGTAACCAACGGATTTCCATGGGACAAGAAGAACTATGGTAATAGTGGGTTCGACTATTACACAATTATGCTAATATTTTATTAATTCAAAAGCACTTTACAAGAAAATATAAGTATGGCTTCCAATAGGAATGTTATACCTGGACTTGATACCAAGCTCACAGATTTTAGTTTTGCAAGGAAAAACAGGCTTTCAGGTTAAACAACAATTTGTAACCAAAACTTTAATCCCAAGGATTCTCACAAACATATTACAAATGACAGCATGAAAAAAAATCTTGCACAGTAACTCAAAGTTCAGCTCTACAATGTACCCTTAAACTGGCAGGACATTGGTATCTTGAATAGTTTCAAATTTCCAAAGAGAGAATGTTACATAGAGCTGTGTGTTCATATACAGCAATCCTGTTAAAATGAACTTATGACCTAAAGCAAAAGTAAACTTTCTTGAAACTTCCAATTCTACACCAACTGGACCACCTCTGCCCAGTACGAAGACAACTAGGATTCATTTTATTTTAAACCTCTAACCTAGTTTAACAGTGCAGCTTAATTTTTAGCTGCTGACTTGGGTTCACAGCAGCTTTTAAAGACTGTTCAATTACAGCTGCAGGCACACTATCTCAACTATGGAAAAACTCTTCAATTTTTGCCAGTTTTGTCTTCATAATATGAAATGTCAAGCTTTAACTGGGCAGGAGTTAATAGGTTTATTATCAGTCTATGTAAGACTAAACTTCAAAGCAAATTCAATTTTGCTTAAGGGAACATTGTAAAGTAACAACTCTTAATATTACATGCCTCATATGATCCATTCAAATCATAGAGAATTACATCTTTATGTGTCACTGTTCCAAGAGACAAACAAATGTGAACAGCTAAAACATCTTAAAAATGCACCAAGCTTATGAAGTCTCAAACAAAACTTGAATTTTCTGTACATACTCCTGTCAAATGAAGTTATTTCCTGTACACCACTCCTCTTGCAAACTGGTCTTCTATTTCCTTTCATTTGACCTAGATCGGCTAAAAGACAGAAAACCAAAAAAAAAGTTACATACATAACTCAGTGACATAACCAGGGAAGAAAGTTTTTATGGGAAAAATAAAAATCAAAACAGCCTAAGAAGATCACCTTCTCTTTTTTAACAAGTTATTTATAAATGCTTAAGTCATCAAAAATCTTACCTACGAGACCTAGAAAAGGATCGGGACGGCTTGTGATTTCTCTCCCGAGACAGTGATCTCTCTCTCCTCCTATCTCTAGAAAGGGACCTAAAACCAGAGGAAAAAGAAAAATAGGGCCATTCAGAATTATACACAACAAATATCCTAAGAAGTCTTCAAAAACTAAAAGCTGGTTCACTGGTGCAACTTATTAACCCTGGCTCTATATGCTACTTTTTCATTACTAAAGCCAGTCTTTTACCATTAACCACATCATTTGGAACACAGCTCAGGAACAGCAGAAACATGACTTTCTGAAGGTGGCCAAAAAAGGTAGTTATTTACCTGCTCCGGCTGCGGGAGAAGCTTCTCCGTCTTGGAGATCTAAAAGCAGAAACAGGAAAATTAGGCTAATTGTCAATTAGTATTTATGGCGTGAGGCATTTCCCAACTTTTCAATTTCACTGTTGGGCCCAGTGAATGTGCCGAAGAACTGGCACCCATCGTCCAAAAACAAAACAAAACCGAAAAACCAAAACCAAAACCAAAAAAAAACAAAAAAAACAAAAAAAAACCAAAACCAAAACAGAAAAAAACCAGAAAAGAAAAAAAGGCACAGAAGGATTAAGGAACCAAAAGCTCAAGTGAAAAGCAGGTATTCCAACCATGGATTCACTTTAACAAAGAATGCTTCACAGCAGATCTGTCCAATGCAAAACTTCATGTCAAACTAACTTCACTACCCAAACACCACACCAAAATATAGTCCCACAAGTAGTTCCAAAAACAGTACCATAAACCAGTATTTGGAACCCATGCAAACCTATAAGTCCATGACAAGACTTAGGTACCAGGTGGATAGTGTAATTTTGTGAAAACGCGCTAGGTGTAAATACTGATGCCATTAAGTGCTACATTAGAACTGCATTTGTGATCGTCACATTAAAGAGTGTGTTTAGGCTTATAAAAATTACCTTAGCTTGGCCCACTTTACCCCCAAAATTTAAAACTTGAAAACTGTTAGTAAAACCATTTAAAGGTGATAGGATTCAACAAATTTTTGCTAGAAAAGAAAGCTAAATCTGTTAGGAGTTATTAAAATTTTTAGTTTGGCATCTCACACATGCAAATAAGTTTCACCTGAAGGTCTAGTTACATTATGAGTTCCCTATCACCCTTAAAAGTTTTATTCAAGCAATATATATGTACGTTACCATTCAATTATGCACAGCCAGCCTTTGATCCAGAAAAAAGAATTACTTTAAGCCGCTTACTCCTTATTTTAACCAGCAGTAAACTGTATAAGCAGGAAAAACTTACTAGTTTTGGGTTTCAACAAGCTAGAAATGGTGAGGTGAGGCTGCCGGACTGACGGCCAGGAAGAATTTGCTGAAAAGGTTTTGCCAGATGTTGCGTTGGATTTAGTTGGTTGGCGAAGGGGGTGTTGTGGATTTTTCCTGCTTTTTTGTTAGCCGAAGGCTGCTGCTGTAGTTGTTGTGAAGACATTTGGTAAATAAACAGCTGAGCTGATTGGCCAGGAATGTGTGGGCGGTCGAGGTGGCTGCTGCCGATTTGGTTAAGGTTGGAGAGAAGGCTGAGAGAAAACAGCATGCTCGGGAACCAAAGGGCGGTGCAACCTGACGACTGGCCATGCCTGGGTCATGTGAAACGACACCAGCCAAGCTGAATGGGGCGCGCTGGTCACATGACGCTGAAAGGGCTAGTTGACTGGCTAATGCAGACTCAGAGGGTGGTGAGAAGAGACATGATGGTGACTCTGTAACGGGGTTCATTTTTATTAATAGATGGACCAAAAAGCACAAAAAAAAAATGAAAAACAAGCCATCAGTACAACCATCTATTTAGCTAACAAATACTCTTTATTATGATGGGCAACAGTGTGTTGTTTTGTTTTTCAAAATAGCAAAAGGGGCAAGATTTTGAACTCCTATCTCCTAGAAGGACTTCACTCACCTGTAAGAGGTAAATTAAGTCCTATAGAAACTATTTTGGAGGAGATGTGGAGTTAGCATCCAGACAATACTGCCTGGTCCAAGAATGATGCCATTTTCAATTATAAAAAAACTGAAATCTCTCCTATTTGGTTTTGAAGAACAGATGACTGGGATTACTTTTTTAGCCCCCTTTATCGGTCAGTGACTTAAGTTAGTTTCAGAATGATTTCTACTTTACCAGTTTTAACATTACAACAGCTGCCTGTTTGATAAATACTACAATCGTGCTAATAGTAGAAAACACATTTTTGTGAAGAGCTAGAGTTGAATGTAATGTTTGTCATTATGGAGTCAAGAAATGGAAAAAGGCCTAAATTGAAGTATAAGGGAAGACTTGGAAAGATGCAACTAGAAGATGAACTAGAAGATAGATCCAAGATAGAAGTTACTGACTACCAACATGAACAGTGACCTAAAGACAAAAGCCAACACTCAGCACAACTCACATACCCCAAACTACACCCAGCAAATGTTTCATAAAAACCTCCGATTCTTCAAAGTTTAAAACCCACCAACAAACTTTGAGAGAAATACCTGCTCCTATTAGCTACTCCGTTACACCAATACCTCTAAACACGCTCTCAAGTACCTGCGACGAGGTGGAGGACTCCTTCTCCGATAATCATCTCGAGGGCGACGACCCCAAGAAGGAGGTGGGCCACGATTTCTACTTCTCTTTTCACCATTCGAGAGTTCCACTCTTACTCGGCAGCCACACAGTGTTCTAAGGAAAGAAACATTACTAAATTTAAAAGAGCAAAGACGTGTATACTAAAGCAAAAAGAAAGCACTCCCACTTAGCCTTTTCTGTAAACTACACACCTGAAACATCTGTAGAATCCTTAATAGCAAAACAAGTTTTTCTAATAAAGAAAACCAACTTCCTTATGCTTTAATGCCTTGTTAGAGCCAGTCTAAATCATTGGGCTCAATGTTAATTTGTTAAGTTACAAGTGTGAAAACCTTGGATTCTTCCTCAAAGAACCAGTTCATCTGTACATCCTGCTGGGACTTCAAGATCCCAGAACTTATTTACTGATCTTGATGTTACTAGACTGTTGGTCTTTCTCTTCCCCAGATAACCCCAATTCTCCATGCCAACAGCAGTGAACAAAAGCATTTTGGCCATTTTCCGTCACCATCTCCCCTCAATCATCACACAATAGCTGACCCGTTAGGAAACTGAAGCTGAGGAAAGTCGGAAAAAAAGTTATCCTCCACCTCTTGTTTCACATCCATTCAGATGAACCACCTTTATTGGGCCAGCTATTAAGAGGTGGGAACCTGGAAAAATGTGTTTCTACCATCTGCTTGGATAAATGACCTTCTCTACAGCTTTACAGCCAACCCTCAGATCCCTTAACTTTTGGATCTTAAAGATTAACCATTTCCCCTGGTTTCCTGAAATCCAATGGTTTTCCAACAAGCAGGAAGGCGAGAAGGGCAGCACCTGGTCATTCTTAAAACTCAGGTGTTACTTACCAGCCATTAATGGGACACTAAACACACACACAACACAGCTACATATTCCACACTTCCTAAGTATTTCAAACACATAAAAGATAATGGTACAATAAAGCCCATGCAACCATTATCCAACTACGAGAATTACCAGTTTGTGGCCATTCTTACTTGAAAAGATCTGATTTCACAATTGTTTCAGAAACAATTCAAAGGTGACACCACAAGTGACAACTTTGTGGAAGGTTTCGATTAAAATGCTTCAACCACATTTTGGATGCAAACATCCACCCACCAAGAATCGACCATTAAACATTTTCTTCAATGGCCACTTGAGTAAAAAGTTACTTCCTATTGATCTTCAGTAAAACACTTTTTCTTTGCAGAAAAGGCATATGTTAAGTCTCCAGTAACATTAACTTCAGATAGCCAAGAAGCTATCTAAAAGTCACATAACCTAGGAATTTTAAACATTAAAAAACACAAGCAACGTATTTGTCATCAACATTAGTCATTAAATTACCTCCCATCTAGCTCTCGAACAGCATCAGCTGCATCTCGGGGATCTTCAAATTCAACAAAAGCGAAGCCGGGAGGGTTTCTAGCAACCCACACACTTCGGAGTGGTCCATAATAGCCAAAAGCTCGTTCCAATTCAGTCTTGTTACCATTGTTTCCAAGATTACCTACATAAACTTTACAGTCCAGTGGACAGGAATCACGATGCATTTCTGTAATTAAAAAAAATTACCCGAAATGTTAATCATTTACCCAATAAACCTACACAGTGAAAAAAGATCCTTAGAAAAGAATGCTGAAACACTAAAAACCAAACAATTACTACCCTTGAAACACCCATTTCTCTCTAATCTGTACTTCTAACTACCAGGAAGCCAGCACAAAATGCATTTAGAAAAACGCCTCCTGGAAAAATTGGTGGGGGAGTGGAAAGCACTGAAGAAGCATTTACAATCTGGGCAGTTAGTAACTTTACCAATTATTATAACTAATATCAAAGATAAAGCACTTAAGGTAGAGTAACTTGTGCAGAACCAAATCCTAGAGACGTAATAACCAAACCTAATAACCGAAGGGATACTAATGTGTCTTCGTGTAATTAAAACCTTAACCAGCTTCATTCCTAAAGTGTTAGGAATCCAGACACAAGCGCACATATTCCAATTCTATGTATATAAAATATCCAACAGGTAAATGCAGAGACAGATTCATGGTTACCAGAGGCTGGGTGAGAGGGCAGAGGGAATGAGACCAGCTGCTTAATGGGAATAGGTCTCCTTAGGGGGTAACAAAAATGTTTTGGAACTAGACAGCTATGACAGTTGCACAGCACTGAGAATGTACTAAATACTACTTAACGCACACTTTAAAAAGAAGCTTATGTTAATTTCAGGTGGGGATTTGTTAGTGCAAAAATTTACTGCACTTTGGGGGTTTATATTTGCTAGAACTTCACTACAAGTCACTTCCAAAACGAATCTAATCAACTTGTAGGACAGATTCAATTGCGAAGAGTAACGAACCCAATAACTCAGCTTAAGGGCTTCTTATAAACACCACATTCTGCTCACTCTGGACTTATCCAATTAAAAAAACTAGTCCAGACACATCCTATTTGCATGACCCCACCCTGTACCCAGGAGTCTTGAGACCAAACCATTGCTGGAGATTTTTTTTTAACTTCGCTGTGAGCACTTTTAGGAGTTAAGTATCAAAGGTAAGCTGCTACAAGTACAGTGTGGCTCAAGGAAGACCTATCAGTTTAAAAAAAAAAAAAGTGATTAAGACTGTAAAAAGTCAAATTAAGATGAAAATACAGGTGACTACACAAACCACGTAACATGGATTGAAAGGCCCAGCCTTGATTAGTGACTGTGGAAAAAAATCCTAAGCTTCCGAAGAAAACGTGGGGGTGGGGGAAAAAAGGCGCCATAAATTGAAAGGCCGCGGCCCGAGGTACAATTCGGTTAACGGCCCTCTTTCCCGCCTCAACTTTCGGGTTATCCCACTTCTCAGTTCACCACCACCACCTCTCCCCCACCCCCCCCCCGGATAGGGGAAGATTATAAACACCTCGACTTCGAGACCGAGGTACGTTCTCTGATGGGCCAGGAGCCCCCGCCACCGCCCCATGCTGAACGTCACAAAATGGCGGCGGCGTCTCTTTGTCTCAACCTGGCGCCATTGGGCCTGGCCCCACCGCGGTCCTGTTAAGTGCCATTTCCCACTGCACTCCTTTAGTCGCTGGTCTCTTACCGAAATCTTGGGTTACAAAGCAGACGCTCAAAACCACACACCCTCGGATGGGTCTTCCCGCTTCCCGCTCCCCTCCGGCCCGGCTCCCGCAGATGCTCTCGCTGACCTGGCGTCCACGAAATGGCGGACCACCGCCTTCTCCTCGCCCTTATTTATACGCCATGCTGAAGTCACATGATTGGACGGGCTCGCCCAATGAGAGGCGGAGGAGGCTGTGACGTAGCGGCCATCAAATCAACGAGAATCGCGGTTGCTGGGAGCGCGCTCTGGCGCTGCCGCTTGGTCCGTGGAGACGTACGCTGCCGCGCTCCAGTCGCCTTAGGCCTGGGGCTTCCTCGGATGTTTCCGGGTGGCCGACCTCCAAGTTACCCTCGATCCCCTCTCCCTCATCCCCAGATACACTAGGGTTTCATAACACCACTGCTGTTACTCCCAAACGCTGATAGAGCCGTTTGCCCCAAATAAGATTTAGATCGTAAACTCATTACTTAATCCTCGAGAACGGTTAGACTGGAACTAAAGCATCGTGTTTACAGACGAGCTTCAGAGTTGCTCCCAAGGTCACTGAGCTGTGGGTGACCAAACTGCCACCAGATTGTGCCCGCCCACGTCTCACACTACGGAAAAGCCCGATCCTGGAAAGTCGGCCCAACTCTGGCTGGTTTCCCGCCTCTCACCCAAACTGCAGGATTTGGCAGAGAAGGGTGGCGTCATCATCCCGGACTCTTGAAAGGTTTAATAGAAACTCAAACGCAAATGAGACCGGCCGGGCCATCTGGACGCTGACCTTTACCAAATAACAGTAAAAAGAAATTTCTGAAAAGAATTAGTTTAAATTCTGGGCCCCCAAACAAATGCCAGGAAGGGTATGTCTGGCCTCTCTCCAGGAAAAGCCTGCCTGCGTATTGACGACTTCGGGGTGGGGCTGGGGTTCTTGGACCACTCACACCTTCCTCTGTTTTCCGCTTCCTCCTAGGAAAACAGAGCCTCAAGAATAATTCACTACTGGGAGAGAAATACCGCGATCGTGCTCGAAAAACCCCTCCCTCTCTGGAACAGTGAGTCAAGCTACGAAGTTCGTCTGGTGTCGTGAAACCTACGCCCCTACCCCCCCCCCCCCTTCAGTTTTGTCTGACTTATTGTTAAAATTTAAATTTGCTTTCAAGAAAAAGAAAACTAATACCTTGTATTTTCAGTCACAAAAATGAAAAAGATAAGCCAGTATTTACTTATCACTCCCGGATATTTTCTTTTGAATCCTTATCTCGTGGCTCTAAAAGGTTGGTGGGGGGGGGGGGTGGAATGCAAAGATTTAATCGCTCTGAGCCTTAGTTTTCTCATGGTAGAATAGGAATTTCATACTGCAGGGAAAGAGGAGGGACAGGAACTACAGTCGAAGAGCCAGGACCTGTGCTGGCCTTACCTGGGGTGTTTCCTAGGTGAAGGGGGATTCTAGCATACCCTTTCTCTTTCTCTTCTTGCTTTTCTTCCCTTCTCTAAATATTTCTCTCCTCTGGCTCACTTCTGTTGTCTCGATTTGATCCCCTCCTCTGGGTAAGCTTTTCTCCTGGTTTGAATTTTATTTTCTTCTGCCAAAGCAAAGGCTTTGAAGTGAGACAGTCCTGGATGTGGACTATCAAAGTCCCACTACTACATACTGCTAAAGTGTCTTGAAAAGAATCCCCAGGGCGCCTGGGTGGCTCAGTTGATTGAGCGTCTGACTTTCACTCGGGTCATGATCTCGTAATTCCGTGGGTTTGAGCCCTATGTCTGGCTCTGTGCTGACAGCTCAGAGCCTGGAGCCTGTTTCAGATTCTGTGTCTCCTCTCTCTGCCCCTCTCCTCGTGCTCTGTCTCTCAAAAATAAATAAATGTAAAAAAAAACAAAAAGAAAACCACAACAAACCAACAAAGAATCTCTTACCCTGTCTCAGGATTATTTCCTTCTGTAAAATGGGGTAATAATACCAGCCTTTCAGGGTTGTTATGTGCTGTCTCCTCTCACAGGAACTTCAGCTTTTGTCTGTGGTGGTCACTCCTGCATTCCTAGGGCCTAGGAACAAATCTGGCACACAGCACATAAACATATTTAATTATTTAATTACTTAGAAGAAAGTACAAAAATCACCTGACAATCTCTATTCAAAAAAATGCTGACTCTTCAAAGAATATCCTATCCATTCCCACCATTTTTCCTGTCTTTGGGTTTGTGAGTGTAATGCTAGTCTAGCATGCATCTTTCAATGGAGCACTCTTAATCCCTCCAGCTGTATTCCAGAATACATTTTGAACCTCCTTTGGCCATCCACACACGCTTTCCACCTTCTGGTAACTGCAGCCAAGTGAATTATCCATTTAAATTATGGATTATTTTTGGGGCGCCTGGGTGGCTCAGTCGGTTGAGCGTCCGACTTTGGCTCAGGTCATGATCTCACAGTCTGTGAGTTTAAGCCCCACATCGGGCTCTGTGCTGATGGCTCAGAGCCTGGAGCCTGCTTCCGATTCTGTGTCTCCCTCTCTCTCTGCCCCTTCCCTGCTCATGCTCTGTCTCTCTCTGTCTCAAAAATAAAAACATTAAGAAAAAAATTAAAAAAAAAATAAATTATGGATTATTTTTAATGTTGCTTTAAATATATTCAATCATCAACCACTCTTGTCCAGATTCTAGAACCATATGAAGCTGTCAGAGGGACATGTCAATATTTCTTGGTAGGGACAAGGAATGGAGATCATACGTTGTGGTAAACATCCCTTGATTTCATTTGGAGAACCACCTTCCTCGTAGTAGACCATGGCATTGATTCAGGTGTGGTTGGGTTCATGAAAGCATTCTAGTTCTTAGCACCCCCTCCCTACACCAGTTAGTTCAGGAATGAATGGGTAATACAATCAGACCAGTCAACTGCTAATTCTAGTCCTGCTGTTAGGCCAACCAGAGATGTGCTCATTTCCTCTGACTAGTGGCTTACCTGAGCCAGGGAAGCCATCCTCTTTCTAGAGGGAAGAGGCAGCCCTTAGAGGATCCAACCTACAGGGAGGGAGAGAGCTGAGAGATGGGAAATAAAGAGCCCTGGAACTCTAGTTAAAGAAGCCCTGAACCCAGTTCTATTTTTGGAATTCCCTAGTAGCATACATTCCTAACACTTCACCCAGTTTGCCTAAGCCACTTGAGTTAGGTTTTTTGTTTTTTGTTTGTTGCTTTTTTCCTGACATTTGCAAACAGAAATACTCCAGGGGGACTGGGTGGCTCAGTTGGTTAAGCATCCGACTTCAGCTCAGGTCATGATCTCACAGTTTGTGAGTTCCAGCCCATCATCCGGCTCTGTGCTGACGGCTCAGGCCCTGGAACCTGCTTCAGATTCTATCCTCTCTCTCTGCCCCTCCCCAGCTTGTCCTCTGTGGGGCTCAAACTCATAAGCCACGAGATCATGACCTGAGCTGAAGCTGGTCACTTAACCGACTGAAGCACCCAGGCGCCCCTAAAGTATTAATTCTTATACATATATATTCGT